TGTGTGTGTGTGTGTGTGTGTGTGTGTGTGTGTGTGTGTGTGTGTGTGTGTGTGTGTGTGTGTGTGTGTGAGTGAGTCCGTGTGTATGTGAGTGTGTGTGTGCGTGAGCGTGTGTGTGTGTGTGCGTGAGCGTGTGTGTGTGTGTGTGTGTGTGTGTGCGTGTGTGTGAGTCACAGCACGTTGGAATCAAGCACTCGTCAGGTCAGGTTTTTGGCATATTCATGTTATTGGTATGTATCATCTTAAATCCTGTTCATTTGCCTTGCTTTAGATGAAAAAAAAAATAATTCCCATCAATCTTGAAAAGAAGTCGAGATATTTCCACGAAAAAGAGGGTTTTTTAGTACATTTATGTGTTTAAAACAGAAACACATTCTAATCTTCTTAGACGTATTACTAACCGTTCAGAGTATGAACAGTTCTTCGGGGGTATAATGCTTCTTCGGTCAAACAAAAGAGATAGAAGTGCGGGACAAAAAAATTCGCGGCACACTGCTTATCCTCAAATATTTGTTGGGGGCTCTCGTGGCCTAGAGGTTAAGGAGTTCGCCTCTCATTCAAAGGTCCCGGGTTCGGAGCCAGGTAAAGACAGACACATTTTCTTCTTTAAAATTGTCTCCTTTCCCCTCCTTTCCTGCTCTCAAGCAGTGATCTGTCGTCTGCTTTCGTCTCCACTTTCTGCCCACACCCCCTCACACCCTTTGCCCCCTCCTCTGGGCTTTTGGCTCTTTCTGCAGCCTTTCTACTGCTACTCCTTGGCTCCTTACAGCTGTCTTTCAGCCACACCCCTGAACTTTTGGTAGGAGAGATCTACACCTAGCCTTCTCGGACAAGGGGGAAAACTCTCGGACGTCCCGTGTGCAAGTTGCGCACCTTAAAGATTCCTTGGTGGTCTAAAATCGATAAGAGTAGGCTTCAGCTGCCATCCGGGCAAAATTCAAAATTTCCTACCAACTGAAAATTATGTGTCCCGCAAGCTCATATGACCTTATGCAGTTGCGAGCGCCGTAAAACACTTACCAAAAAAAAATTATTATTATTTCACAGACGATCGTGTCACCCATATGTTGCACAGCAGCAGTTTGTATCAGTTTGTTTCGAGTTATTCATATTTTTTCCACAACATTGAGGCTAGATTTTTTTTTTACTTTATTATTTCACATTTTTTTTTCAAAGTGAAGAACAGCGTAACCCACTCCTGTTCAACGGCGATGCGCTTGTGCCAGTGTGTTTTTTGTTTAAAAAGATCATAAAATGCAATCACCCATGGTTGCAAAAAAAAATAAAGGACAGTAAAAAAAGTTTCTTTCTGCACCATTGATTGTTACAAAACTAAATTTTCCAGTGAATATCCGTTCATTAAGTCTAATGTCACAATAAAAAAAAAAGAAAAAAAGATGAACTTACTTTTATGCTTTTGTCCCAGTCCCAGCTCATGGTATGTTAACCGCCCACTGGAAGTTTTTATTTAAAGCATTTATTTCGGAATTTTGTCGAATGAATACAACAGATGTTTACAAAAATACTGATCTGTTGAGAAAAATTATCGAATTAGTTTAAAAGATAATTGTGAAAAAGTTAGAGAGTCCATGTTCAATAGCTGAGGAGATATAATTTGACAATAAGTTGCGCCACATATTTCTGACCGCACTAAAATACTACCTTTATTCAAGTATCAAGTCGGGGACACAAAATAAAATATATCGTCGTACGGGCCAAGCGGTTTGAGGCTAAGTGCGTGAGAGCTAGCGCACAAGGTATACACACAGGGCTGACATTCCCCTTTTCCTTCCCACTACAGCCAGTTATTAATTTGATCGGGCTCTGGACTCTGTAAAAATAATTAGCATATTCTTTTATTGTAAAGCGCAAATTTCTATGGGCTTTATGAGTTATAACATTACTACCCCAGAAGACCTGATAGTACTCTGAAACAATCTCAATTCCCTGGAAAGCATACAATGGTAACGCAAGGAGCCATTTTACAGGTGCTAAAACATTAGATTTGAAATTGTCTTGAAAATAATTGATTTGCGACAGTTTTAGTGGCTTTATGTGTGATCTGCAGCAAACAGTACAGCAGTTTGACCCCTGAAACAGTGCACCTGTGTGCGGGAGTGAAAGTAAAAATTTACCGAAATTGGGGAGCAAGCTGGATCTAGATCTAGAATCGAAGTGGCTAGCCGTACTTAAGTACAGCGAGACTGAGAGTCTAGCCGTACTTAAGTACGGCTAGACTGCCAGTTTAGCCATACTTAGATCTAGGTTTGGCCCTATCGACTCAAGCCTGTTTAGTACACAAGTCTCATTAGATCTAGATCTAGTAATTATTCAGGTTCAAATACATGCAAGTCAGTAAGGCATCTTCTGCTTTTGTCTGAAATAAAAATACTTTAGGCATTGCTAACTAAAAATTTCATTTACAATTCAGCCATCAATATTAAGTACGGCTAGCCTGACAGCCTAGCCGTACTTATCTTAGGCCCTATAAACATTAGAAAACAGGAGGTTTAAAATACATGCACTGTCATTAAGGCACCTGGTTTCGTCTCAAATGCAAATACTTTAGGTACTGCACATTAAAAATGTATATTTACAATTCAGTAGGCCTATTTTTTGTAACGAAGTGACTATTCGGACTCGAGTCCAAATATGAAAAAATGTTCGAAGTGACTATTCGGACTCGAGTCCGAATATGAAAAAATGTTCGAAGTGACTATTCGGACTCGAGTCCGAATATGAAAAAATGTTATTTCTTGGTAAACAATCGAGATGATACAGGCTTGTGCATTTGAACGAATCAGTCTTTTTTTTTTTACACAGCTCATAATATGCAGGTGCCAGGTGGTCTGCTAATCTTCAATTTTACCTTTTTCTACAACAAAGAAAGTGGAAAATATGGGGGGGGGGGGGGGGCGTATCAATGAGGTGGCGGGCATCGGATCGGCAGAAAACGTGAGGGGAAACTAAAAAATGGCGGAAAATGGGAAGCCCTGAACGTTAGATCTTTAGAACGAAGACACTTCCTTTTTTCGGGACCCGAGTCCGAATAACATTTTTTCATATTCGGACCTGAGTCCGAATAAGAATTTTTTTTATTCGGACTCGAGTCCGAATATGAAAAAATGTTATTCGGACTAACGACAGCCAAAAATGTTATTTGGACTCTGATTCTTGTCCAGCATGACATCACTTCCGACTTCCTGTGACTCGTGACTCCGACTTCCTGTCCTGCCTCACTCGTGACTCGCCTCAGGCTGGGTAGAGACCGGGATCACTTCGGGCAAAATGGCGTTTAGTGCAGGAGCCGAGTTTTTATCTTACGATGAATTTGAGGCCGGCCTGAAAAGTTATGGCGTTTCTAATAAATGTTTATTTGTCAAGAGGTCACCAGAAGCAATTAAAGATGGCTCCTTAGCGTGTGTCGGGGTCGGAAGGGCGGCCTGCACACGTGTCGCTGTGTGAGCGTGTCGGGGAAGAGGGGGGGGGGCACTGTCCGTCCGTGCGTTGAACGTCGCATACGCGTCATCTTTTATCCCCCCGCAACTGATCATTATTACAATAATAAGCTAGTCTTGACGTAGATCTACGTAATGAATTGTGCGCTGGTCTATAGAATCAAAAGTTGCCGTATGCTCGGCTCTACATAGCAACACAACTTTTTCTTGGTAAACAATCGAGATGACACAGGCTTGTGTATTTGAACGAATCGGTCTTTTTTTTTTACACAGCTCACAATGTGTAGGAGCTAGGTGGTCTGCTTATCTTCAATTTTACCTTTTTCTACAACAAAGAAAGTGGGAAACATAGGGGGTCGGGGCGTATCAATGAGGCGGCGGTCATTTGATCGGCAGATAAAGTGTGGGGGAAACTAAAAAATGGCGTAAAATTGGAAGCACTTAATGTTAGATCTATAGAACGAAGACACTTCCTTTGAGTCCGAATAACAACAGCCTTTTTGTAAATGGTCAGTCTAGCCATCATTTAACCCTGGAAGCGCGCAGGCCCTATATAAAGGGCGTGAGCCGGGCTACCCGGGAAGCGCGCACGCCCTATATATAAGGCTGACCTATTTCGACCGGGAAGCGCGCAGGCCCTATATAAAGGGCATAGACGCTGACCCTTTTCAATGGAAAATTCCAGTGTTCCTTATATGGAAAATGACGTAGTCAATTACAGGCCAAAGTTATAAATCGTGACCAATGACTTTGCAAGTTATCTTGACCTCGTAGAGCGTCTCTTGGTCCAGATATCAATCGATAAAGTGACGCGGTCCGGCTGAGCGACTACACGCTATGTGTTATCACTTGTTTCGCAGTGCTCATGTACTAATTGTTGAGTCTATCGCGTTCTCGGCTTTGTTTGTATTTATTTGATCGCTGATTATTTTTGAATGGCTCACTCTATCAGCTTAAAGAAAATATATGCTTTTATATGCTTTTTATCATCCGTTGAGCCGTAAATGGTCATTTTTCAGTAGCAGGTATACATTTCGCGTATCTCAGCTGTTTCCCCCCGCCAAACCCCCATGTTTACAACTGATTGGCCGTGGAGGCGGGGCATTTTTGGCTGGTTACTTCCGGTGAAACGCTGAGCGCTTCTAGATCTAGGGTTAAGAATAAGTACGGCTAGACTGCGAGTCTAGCCGTACTTCAAAGTACTTGAAGTACGGATATAATATATCTAGATATAGATCTATATATATCTAGATCTAGATCTAGGTCTAATCTATATCTATATATCTATATCTAGATTATATCTTCTAGATTCTAGATCTAGATCTAGATCTAGATCTAGAGCTAGATTCTAGATCTAGATCTAGATTCTAGTATCTAGATCTAGATCTAGATTTCTAGATTAGATCATGATTTGTTGAGCCTTCCTTCAACTTCAGTTCAGTCAGTGAGGAGTGGTGTAGAATCTAGAAATAGATCTAGATTCTAGATTTAGTCAAAAAAATGAAAGAATAAAAACAAAAAATAACAACAGCGTGGACATACTTGATGGCATAGCCCTGAATCAGTCCAACAGGGCAGAAAATAGAAATTTCTTCAGCCTTCACCAGATGGAACGACCTGCGATCACTCAAAATTGTAAACAAGCCAAGCAAGACGGACGAAGGGAAACAACTGCACCCTAGTGATGGGCAGGTATCGATACCAGGTACTCGATACTTAGATACATATGGTTATCGGTATCGGTACCGATACCTGCTCTAAACATCGATACCTGTGTGCTATTTATCCCACGGCTGCCAGAGCAAGTGACTTGGGCCTTGAGAATTTTTTGTTTATCAAAACTGATAAGTTTTCGTAGGGGGGCAAGCTTTTTAAATGAATCTAGTGATTTCTTAACAAAAAGAGAGAAGTTTTTCATGAAATGTATCTAGTGATTTTGCAAAATCTTCACTGACAACCCTGATTTATCCTCATTGGTTTAATTTGAAGTTGCTAAAAATCTGGTAAATCGAATTGCCTTTTGTGTTTTTATTTTCCAATACTAACATTTTCTGCAAAGTTGACTTTCCTCCCATACTTCTCTTAATTTTTGTTTTTATTCTCATATTTGGGTATTTATCTCTCTCTCTCTCTCTCTCTCTCTCTCTCTCTCTCTCTCTCTCTCTCTCTCTCTCTCTCTCTCTCTCTCTCTCTCTCTCTCTCTCTCTTTCACAAATAATTTTTGTTTGAGTCTCAGCTAAATAGTAACAACTTGTATAGACACGATTACCTAAATACTTGGAAAAGTATAGTTGTATTTTTGTCTTTACTTATTACCCCCGCGTATGTTACCAATGGTATTAGGTTTCGAGGTATCGGTATCGATACCTTGAAATAGTACTAGGTATCGACATCGATATCTAATTTGTGGTATCGGCCCATCACTACTGCACCCGTTATTCAACTACTTTTCCTGGTATTGTTACCCACTAAATCTATTTTGGTATCGACTACTGAATCCCGAATACTTCTGTCCCCGTGGTTTTATGCTCTCAGTATAATAGAAAAATGTGATAATTTTTTGCATAAATGTCTGATTATTTTCCTTTATCATGCTTTGTTAAAATTAAGAGAATCATATAATTTTACATTTTTTGGCTCAGTTTGCATAATTTCAGATTTTTTTTGGGCCTAAAATCGCGGGGACAGATATATTGTTTCCTGGTGACATTTTTATTTGTATCATGTTTTGTTTTCTCTCAAGCGTAGATTTTAAAAAAACATCCATGCACATGTAATACTAACATGTGCTCTCCATCTTCTGAACTGATTTTCGATTATGATATTATCCGATGATATTATCATTCAGTTGTCTATTTCCACATCAACAAGGAATATAAAAGATCGTATTTGGGGTATTTGTTCAATTACCAAGGATCGAACACGTACGATCTTTGGTAGTACCAAAGATGGTACATAACAAGATAGTTCACTTGGCCAAAAAGTGTCCGCGGAAGTCTGCGCATTAGTTCAGATGTCACTGCAGTCCACAGAATTCTACACTTAGAATTCTGTGCTGCAGTCTTAGTTTTGAAGCTCCCGTTCGTTTCTCCAGAAGAAGAAGAATAGCACCCCCTTGTACACCAGCTGTTGCGGTTCGCTCAGATGGAGTTTTGGGTTTATTATTTTATTTTAATGAATTCTCGCCTCTTGTTCCCAAGCCAAATTAAACGAAGAAAACAGTCGCCCCTTCCACCTGAAGAGGATTTTTGTCAGCATAATCATTTAAAACGGAGTTATTCCGAAATTTTAATTATAGTTTGTAAAAAAAACCTCGTTAGTTTCACCATTCACTTTGATTTATCCCCCACACAAGTAGGGTAGCTCTGTTCGCAAAGCGGGCGCTTCTTCGAAGAGCGCGCCACCAGATTTGGGGGACAGTTTTTTAAAATTTTGATTGGTTCAAAGATAGGAGTGAACCATCTTGTTATCCAAAATCTTTGCTAAAATACTAACAATATAGTAAATAATAGTTCGAATATGCCTACGTTCTAAGACCAGTTGATTTGGGTTAGATTTGATTAAAGTGAAAACAAAAACATCCTACAATACCCCTCCCCCCCTTTCCGCCCTTTTTCCAATACCCTTTTCCTTAAAAATTAAACCTACATAATCGAACAAGTTCAAACAAACATAAAACTCATTGAAGTATATATTTCAACGGGAGCAATATTATATTGTGTTTTTGGGTCTTTTGTCTGAATGTGTGAGTGTGTGTACATGTGTGTATGTGTGTGTGTGTGTGTGTGTGTGTGTGTGTGTGTGTGTGTGTGTGTGTGTGTGTGTGTGTGTGTGTGTGTGTGTGCGTGTGTGTGTGTGCGTGCGTGTGTGTGTGCGTGCGGATTTTTAAAGTTTTGTGGCAACGTATCCTCAAATATCTCTTTATCGGGTGAATCAATGTCACCCGTAGGCCTACCTTGCACAACAGTTTTGTATCAATTTGTCTTAACTTATTCATATTTTCCCACTACAACTGAGGTTAGGTCAAAAAAAATTTATTTTTGCTTCATAAATGCCTATATACATTAGGGTCTAGGCTACTGATGAAATAGAATTGTTCACAGCCCTTAGCCTATAAATAAATATGCGCGCTTCTCACACACATTTTGCAAACACATACACAGTCCACTAATGACCCTTTTTATTGGCAAAACCTGTTAAGCTTACGAATAATTAATTTTTTTTGTGAACTCATTTTTGCGTTACAAGTGAAACCGTCCATCAAATGAAGAAAAGTTGCTCATGGACCCCAACTCTCTGGTATCCATTTTATGCGACATCTTTGGTGTATTTTCCTCTTTTCTTTCTTTCTTTCTTTCTTTCTTTCTTTCTTTCTTTCTTTCTTTCTTTCTTTCTTCTCCTGTCTCTTCTTCCACCGTTGCCTCTATGTGCAGTGAAACTACGCGTCGTCATCCAATCCAAAGAGTGGGCGCCTCGTTGACCTTGAGGTGCAATCCGTGTGGAGGGAAATCGGGTACCTGGTTGTTGAGGTGAGATCAGTCTGAGGACTGTCCCTCGCCAACACACCTCTTCCGCCCAGGTTTTCCTCTTCGACGGGAAGATGGCATGGCCCATGCCACTAAATCGGATGAGAGCTGAAACCCCTTCAGTCACTGGGCCAATCTTGACGGGAGGGTCTTGTACACTCTCATGAAGAGTATAACTCCGGGGTAGCCCTGGCACAGCTCCGGCTATCCGAACCATGTTTCCCCTTGTTGAGCTTGGTGGCGGGCGGGGATCCCCGGTGTCGAATCCAGAAAACATTATCATCGAATCTAAACTTACGAAAGATTCATTCCCAGCTCCCAACGTAGCGATAGAGTCTCGACTCGCGAAAGCGTGTGCGGCCGCCAAGCCGAGCAAACGGTCCTCAGCTGCTGAAAAAAGGCACCTCAGCCTCAACGGCTGCCTCTGCCCTCCCTCCCCCCAGGGAGCTTCCGTGGCAGCCATATTTGACCATCTGCCCCATCGATGCGCAGAAGAAGATCACAGATCTTCACCTTTTCAAGACTGGTGGTGCTCTACATTGGGATGCATCCCTACGAATGTTCAAAAGCTGTCCTCTGGTGTACTCTTCGTCAAGTGCGCATCGGGAAAAGAACTCTCCGGACTTGAAAGGCTCACAACCGTCGGTGGTATTCCTTGTGTATCTGAGCGACACGACAAATGCAACCAGTCGAAGTCGTGGTCAGAAGCCATGAGCTTAAGGGCTGCTCCAATAAAAAAAAATTGTGGCTAACAGCGAGGGTGTAGTCGGTGTCCGCCGGATAACTCTTCGGCGGGGTGAGACCACCCTTGAAAGGAACACATTGTTCTAACTTTTGATTCGAGCCACCGTTCAGGCATCATACTTGGTCCTAGACTTTCGACCCTATTTGCCAAACCACCTGTACTGCTTCCAGTGTCAGACCTATGGCCATAGTCTATATTAATATCGACGTTCTGCCCCGTCTTCGCTTTGGCAAGATCGGGCATACTGAAAAGGAATGCAAGGCTAGCCCTTGCTGTCCGAATTGCCACGGCCAGCATACAGCATTCAGTAAGGAGAGCCCGACTTGGCTTCAAGAACGCTCCATTTAGGAACATAAGGCACGAAATGGCTGTTCCTTTCAGGAAGCCAGGGAAACTGCCAATTGCGACTCCGGTCTCTGGCCGGTCATATTATGCGAAGGCAGTCCGGCCAGTCACGAGGTCGCCCAGTACCTTTGCTACCGACCCCGCCCCCTAATGGTCAACAAGCCCAAAACAACAGTGAAATTGTGTATTAAAATAAAGGGTCCCTTCTACCCTAGTGGCACCCACCTTTCGGGTGCCACCCCTTCACCGTTTTGAGGTTCTAAATTTCACCAAACGCTTTTAGAAATATGTCACAAATACATACCAAAATCATATACAAAACCCCGGAAGAACAAAGTCTGGTTCAAACTGCATGCCTTGGGAGTGTGATGATGCCGTAAAGAAAAAGAAGACGGCACCAGGAAAACCATCGAAAACAAAATGAAGGGCCTAATCCCATACCAAGGCTAAGCCACATTTTGCTAAAATAAATAATAAAGCTTTAGGTACCAGCAGAATCCTTCGGGAAAGCCGTATCTAATAAGGTTTATATTTATGTCGGTCGTTACACTTTCAGTAATGAATATAAAGTTACCCTTTTTGTAAGTTCCAAACTGTAGTAGGCAACGAATAGCTTTGTTTTAAAACAGTTGTAGTTCTAGAATCTGGAATCAGACTTTTGTCTTCATACAAAATATTTAAGTCAATGTTATGTTGGTTGATCGACTCTCAGTAATTAAGGTTATCTATATGTTTTGTAGATGCCAAATTGTTTTAAACAACGCATAACCATTTAAAAAATATTAGTTGTGGAAGCCTGAAGCAGCTTTACTTTCAAGTAAAGTTTTCATCCTAGTATTTAGGTCGGTCGTTAAATTTTCAGTAGCAGATGCAATCTTTACTTTGATGTCAGTTCTAAAGTTCAATATGGAAAATTGTAACTTCATTCTGGAACCCAACTTTGATATCAAAAGGTGGGAAAAGCTTTATTTTTAACATAAATATAAATAGTTAAGACTTAATGTCGGTCGTTATTATACTTTCCGAAATGGATGAATGTTTACTTTTTGACCAGTTCCAAACTGTAGTAGGCAACGAATAGCTTTGTTTAAAAACACGGTGGGGTTCTAGAAGCTGGAATCAGATGTCTCCATACAAAATATTTAAGTCAGTATAAGGGCGACCACTTAGAGAGCGCCGTTCGCTCACGTTCACGTAAGCGCACTGCCCGAAGCAGTGGAATTAAAAGAATCCCTAAATGAAAACCGTTGCGTCCCACATATATAAAGCTGTCATTGAGGACGCTCCAGTTGAGGAGCAGCACTGACGTTTCTCGCGGAATCCAAGCTACATTCTGTCCAAGGCCGTCTAAAGCTGTCTGTAGCCTTGTTTTCACGTTGCGGTTGTACCAAAGCAGTGCTTCTTCTTACGCCTTTAGTTGGAGGGAGCAAGTGATTCTAACATGGACTCAGATGCGGTCATATCAGTGTACGTTTGAACTCCCGTATGGGACAAACGTAACAAAGTCTACTTTGTATGTATTTTGACCGGTAGGATACGAATATGTACAGTGTTATTGAACGCCATTTAAAACACAAAATGACAAAGAATGATGATGACGATGGTGATGGTGATTATAGAACCGTTCACTGCCCCCTCCCCACTCCCCACTCCCCCTCCCCGCTCTCTCATAATTTGTCCAGCGGGATCTAGTTATTATTGACTATTATTGACTAAAGGATTCTGGGCGAAATAAGAGGTAAAAAATGTCTCTCACGGCTTTAGCATTATACACGTATTAGTGATTCTACTAGCAAGCTCCCATGCCACATCTGATCACGGGAATGACACTTTTACTTTTATTAAGATTTTGGACAACGCCTTCCCTGTCTATGAAGAATGCATACACCCTGATGTCAAACGGCCTGGTGTAACATCGTTCTCTATGTGGGGTTAAGCAGGCTCCTTTCAAAGCTGAAGCGGCTGACAGCACGGCTGTTAAAAGTACGGCCTCTAGAGGCTTTCACTTTGTGGTCGCCCTTATGTTGATTGATCGACTCTCAATAATTGATGTAATCTATATGTTATAGTTGATACCAGTTTGTTGTAAACAATTATAACTAAAAAAAATATTAGTTGCGGTGTTCAAGCTGGAAGCAGCTTTCTTTTCATGTATGTATTACCCAAATTTTTTGGTCGGTCGTTACACTTTCAGTAGCAGATGTAATCTCTACTTTGTCGTCAGTTCCATG